TATTATTTATTGTAACAAAAATCGAATGCTAAATTGCTGTTTGTAAAAATAATTTTATCGTTTTCGATTTTCTGACGCTGCTTATATAAATTCCAAGTAGCTGAAGTTAACAATAAATATATATATAAATTCCAAGTAAAATGTGTCAGTTAAATTCTGATTATAACAAAAGTATATAAATTTTCTCAACGAGAGTCGATAAATATTACACGATATTAGCAATTTGTTTCGAGCTACAAGTAAACATTTATCGCAAAAACGATCTTCCACCTGCTGTGTCGACACTTCAGTCATTCAACGAATAAAATAACAAACGTCAACGACAAACAGACAGAAGCCTTCTGCAAAACAATGCAAATGTTTTGCAGGATGCATATTCTGTATCGACAAAACTATGTTCCTCGTATTAACCGCTTCGCGTTTACCTATTTAACAATAGAAACATTATTCATAGAGCTATTAAATTTCGTCACAAGCCACCCATTCTGCCCGCCGTCGCAGGACCATTTCATCGCTGATATCCACCTGTACTGGCGAACTCGTCGGGTGTCCGGCCGCCAGCCATGAGCCACTTGCACCAGTCGATGGTCTCCCAGTCGTCGATGGGCTTGCTGGGATTCAGCAGGACGTCCAGCAGCTCGTTGAGGTACTGCGGACAGCCGCCGGTGTCCAGGCCAGTAGTCAAGCTGATGTAGGCCGCCGCTCCGCGCTTGCCCTTGCCCATCAGCACCTGGACGTCGGGCGACGTGCTGGTCGAGGTCGAGGCCATCCTGACCCCGGTCGTCGTCTTACACTTGGAAAAAGACGTCGTCGCCTTCGTCGCCTTCACGATCTCCTTATATAGACCCGCTCGGAGACTGTTTTTTCCTTTTTTTTTTTTTTTACTTATTTTCGAGGGAGGGTCCGCGGACCAGGACCAAACGCTCGGTCAGTGGCCCCATATCAGCAGCGAGAAAACGCCGCTCCTCCCGATCCGGAGAACACCGTTGTCGTCGTCGTCGTCGCCGTCGTCGTTGTCGCGGTCGTGACCGACGGCATGACGAAGTCGGCGACTCCGAGCTCGGGGCTCCCCCCCCCGCCCCCTTACCGTTAACGTTAACTGACGTTAACGTTCACGGCGCCACGACGACTTGAACGCACGGACGATTTCCTCAGCCGCCTCCGCTTCGAAAAGAACGAGACACCCGCGGGGGAGGGAGTGTGCGACGATTGCACCCGGTTAACGAAACTGATCGCGCCCAGCGGGCGAAATCGCGCCCGTTGCGACGAGACGAGACGAGACGACACGACACGGCACAGCGCGGTATACAGCGACGGTGACGATACAGGGCGAATCGCGAGACGAGAGGACGAGACGAGACGACACGAATGCCACGCGAGAGGAACGAAGCAACGTATCGGCGGATCGACGATCAACGATCGCGAGAACCGTACCGATCGACCGTCTCGCGGAGAAGGATATGAAGAGACGAGGAAACTGATGATCGAAAAGCGATGTGGGACTTCAGACACTCAGACAGTCCCACTGGCGCGTCCACTCCGATTTGCTACGAGCAGTACGAGCTCGACGATCGCTGACCGGTCTGCCTTATCGACGTGGTGAAGTGAGGCGAGTCGAGTTATAAGGGTCGGTGCATATGGTGCGTTTTCTCAGGGTTAAGGCCGGCGCGCAAAGAAAACTTGAGCGGTACGCGGGATCGACCAATTGCAGCCGAGAATTCTCGACTGTGA